TCTCTCCTTTTCTCTCCTCTCTCTCTCTCTGTCTCTCCTCTGTGTCCCCGTCTCTCTCTTCTCTTAGCCTCTCTCCTTCCCTCTCTGTTTCTCTCTGTCTCTCCCTTTCTCTCAAAGGCATCAAGGATTTGGATAAACTAGCAAGGGGGCCATGCCCCCCGTGGGTTGGAGGCAGACAGATGGTTCAGTGGATAGAGCACTGTTTGGGCCTGAGATCAGGAAGACCTGAGTTCAAATTGGCCTCAGACACTTTGTTGCTGTGATTCTGGGCAAGTAACTTCATCTCTGCCTGCCTCAGTTTCCTCATCTGCCGTTTGGGGTAATTGTGGGGATTCAGTGTGTAAACCTGTGTCTTCCTGATGAAAGGCCCCTGCTCTTTCTGCCCCGTGGATGGAGAAAAGATTGTACACAGCACTTAACTGCCTGTTGTCAATGATGCCATCTCTGCCCTTGGGACGCTCACGTTCTGATGGCAGAAGACAGTTTGTGGTGGGGTGGTGCTGGGTCGGGCGGGGGGGGGGGCGGCCGTCTTTCTGCAGGTGGCCTCAGTCTGTTGGGCCGCCCACCAAGCTCATGGTCAGCGGGCGGGGGTCCCGTCTGATCCGCCTCGTTTCCTCGTCTGGAGCGCCTGCCTCGGGTTGCTGTGGGCAGCCGTCTTTCTCGTCTGATGACGTCTGGCCTCCCTCGAGTCTCTGACCCTGTCTCCGCTGGCCTCCACTCCTTCTGTCGGTCCCATGTTTTCCCCCGTCAGGGGGTCTGGGCATCTGAACTTAGTCCTCCAGCTGGTGGAAAGCATGGTGCCGGCTCTTGATTTCCTTCCAGGAGCTCAGAGACCGAAGCCAAGCCTGTCATGTTACAGGCAAGGAAACCGAGTCTCCAACAGCAGAAGTGACTTATCCAAGGTCACACAGAACTTGAACCCAGTTCTTCTGATCTTACATCCAGAGGTCTTTCCATTGCAACATGACTTTGTTATCTTAGTACCTGATTGGCATCATTTCCCATCAGTTAATAATCATTTATTAAGTACCTACTGTATGCTCAGCACCATGCCACATGCTGTGGATACCCTCGAGCTCACAGTCTAGTGGGAGAGAAAGCTGGCGAGACCACTGTCCTTGGACCTCTAGTGCTGAGCACAGTGCCTGGCACACAGTGGGTGCATAATAAATGTTTGTTGACTGATTCAGGACAGAGAGCCTTCCCAGCATGGGACAGTCACGTCACGGACTGGAGAAACAACCTGGAGGCCCGAGCGTTGGGTCCTAGAGCCCCTGGGGAGGAGCCAGGTAAGCTGAGCCTCCAGAGCAGTTGGAAGGGCTGTAGAGGCCAAAGGGAGTGTCTGACTGGCCCAGAGAAGACGTCACTAGATCAGGATGCGCTCTCCCACTGTGGAGGACGCAGACGTGGCTGCGTTGGCGGCGTTGATGAGAGGCAGTAAAGCGGGGCTCCCTCCCTCTCTCCTCCCCCTCTCTGTATCTCCTCCTCTCTCTCCCCTTCCCCCTCCCTCTGCCTTTCCCCCTCCCCATCTCTTTCCCTCCTTCCCTCTCTTTCTCACCCTCTCCTTACTTCCCCCTTCCTCTTTTCCTTCCTGTCTTCTCCCTCTCACCGTCTCCTTCCCCCCCCCCCTCTTTCCCCCCCCCCCCCCCCCCCCCCTCCCCCTGCACCCACTCCCTCTCCCCCTCCCCCCTCTATTTGCTTTACTAGTTCAGTAACCACACGGAAGAAGGCTGAGAAGCCCTGCTCCAGCTTCCCTGGCTCCTGTGGGAGCGCTTGGGAAGGCTGTTTCTAGGCAACCGAGGCACTGATATCCGGAGCATCTGACGCAGCTCTGTCTGTGGCTTCATGCTGCATTTTTCTTAATGGAAATAATATTCCAGATATTCCTGCCGTCTCCTCTCCCTCGTTCCCAGGGGGAGAGTGATCGATTTGCTTGAGAGAAGAAAAAAATCCATATTCATTTGAAATACTGATGGGTGGGCCCTTTGAATGGATTCGTATACGGAATCCAGACTTAGAGGGAATGTAGAGAGATGTTTGTGCAGCATCCAGCGAGCATGAAGATCTCTGCTTTGTCCAGGCCCTTGGGTAAGTGGCTGGGCTGCAGTTGAACAAGATGGCGTGTGAAGAGCAGTCCTCCCATTGGGCATGCTTTAGTTATGTGAGCTTGAAAAAGGAATAGAAGCTAGCATTGACATAGGGCTTCAAGCAAAGCTTTACAGGTTTTATCTCACATCAACCCTGGAAGGTAGGTGTTATTATCCCCACTTTAGAGATGGAGAAACCGAGGCAAACGGTGTGACTTGCCCAGGCTCACACATCTAATAGGAGTTGGAGGCCAGATTTGAACTTGTGCTCTTCCCACGGAGCTCGCCCGGCCCCCCCCCCCCAAGGCATCCCCATGGGCCTACTCAGGAGCCCCGGCCTTCATTGTATGCCATGATCCAGAAAGCCAGATCAGGTGTCCACACCCCCTTCTTAGGCAGCCGTTTATTCCCACATCAGTTTTTGGGTGGGCAGGCCTCAGTGAGGACAGTGGCCCCACAGCACGTGTCTGGCCCCTCAGGAGCCCCATGAGGCGATCATTCTCTGCCAGCAGGCTTCTCTCCCGGCCTCACTTTTTTGTCCATCGTGCAGGCAGGGCTTTTTCGTTTCACAGATACGGAAACTGAGTCTGGGAGCATCCAAATCTCAGGGCAAGATTGGAGGCTGGTAGGAGTCCAGCTGGGTCTCCTGACTTCTGGGCCTTCCCTCCGGGCTCGACTGCCTCCCCAATAGCATCCTTCTCTGTGAGGTTCTGTTGTCCCCATTTATTTGTCTGCTCTGTTAGTCACGGCCCAGATAGCCTCCCTCGCTGACCTCCCAGAGAGGTCAGCCTGCAATGGGGACCAGGACATGCCCCCTGCCGATGAACCAGGGCCTCCCCTCGGCCATAATGTTGGCTGGGTCCTTTTACCATGTTCATGCACTGCTTACTACGTGCCAGGTACCGTGCTAACCACTGGAACTACAAAGAAAAGCAAAAACGTGGTGCACAGAGCTGGGACCCAGTGAGAAAGATGCTGGATAAATCAGCGATAACCCCAGAGGGAAGCCGCTGGCACCGAGGGGGGATCGAGGAAGGCAGCTTTCTGTGGGTGGGATTTTAGCTGGAATGTGAATGCAGCCAGGAGGCCGAGACGAGGGAGAGTGTCCCAGGCATGGGGCTCAGCCAGAGAAAGTGCTCGGGGGCGGGAGATGAAGAGTCTTGTTTTAGAGGAGCCCGGGAGGCCGGTGTCACTGAACCAAAGAGTCTGTCTTGGGGAGTCAGGTGTAAGAGGACCAGAAAAGGAGGAGGGGGCTAGGCTGCAGAGGGAGGTGATAGGGAGCCACGGCAGTCTGTGGAGTAGGGGATGACATCACTTTCATGGCTGAATGGAGGATGGATTGGAGTGGGGAAAGACTGGAGGCACGGAGACCCCCGTGCAGCTATTGCCATAGACCAGGCCTGAGGTGATGAGGGCCTGTACCAGGGTGGGGGTGGTGGCAGAGGAGAGGAGGGGGTGTATTCAGAGGTAGTGTGAAGGATTGGTGGGTCTTGACACCATATTGGATATGGGGGTGGGGGGCAGTGAGAAAAAATGAGGAATCCAGGAGGACTCCTAGCCTAGGGGTACCCTCTACAGTAACGGGGGTGGGGAGGGCTTAGGGGAAAAGATAACAGGTTCTGTTTGAACATGTTGAGTTTCAGATGTCTACTGGACGTCCAGGTCAAGATGTCTGAAGGGCAGTTGGCACTGGGAGATTGAAGGTCAGTGGAGAGGGCTGGCTGGATAGGTGGATTTGAGATCGGCAGCATAGAGATGGTCATTGATGATCACCCGGTGAAGTCGGATAGAGGGAGAAGGGAAGAGGGCCAGGACCAAGCCCTGAGGGGCCCAGGGTTAGAGGGTGTGGTCTGAAGGGGGAACCAGCCCGGGAGGGGGAGGAGCATGGAGAGAATGAGGGCAGTTTGGGGGGATGACGAGGTTGGAGGTTGGACTGCAGGTAGTGGGAGGGGAGGAAGCACAGGCAGCTTGTTACCTGCCAGCTGGACATCCCCTAGCCTGCACCCTAGGAAGGAAAGAGGTCTGAACGGTGGAGGAGGGTTCGACCCCCCAGCTCGGGGCTCTGCCTTGGTTCCACGGGTCCTTGTTCCCTGCCCAGAGTTCAGCCTCTGGAATCACTGCCGCCCCTGGGCAGGCTCGGGCCCTGCTCTCTGGGGAGCTTTGGCTCTTCTCGGACTCTGGGAGGATTCAGGGCTGGTCTGGCTTTGATTTGACCTCTTACTGGTGGGGGGTGATAGGCAGTTGTTTGACACCCACCCTTTCTGTCCTGGCGGGTTTGGGCTCTGTGGGCCAGGTGTCATGGCCCTCATGGCTTCTTTTTCCTCCTATAGCTCTGCCTTCTCCCCAACAAAGGACCCGCAAAGAGGCAACAATGACTTCGGGGCTCCTTTCAGCCATGCCTCAGGTGAGTTAAGATTTCTTCACTCCAAGTATAGATCGATTTGTTGGCTTGAACCTCTCTCTTCTTTACCCACCCTGGTTCCATCCAGGGATCTCCGTCTCACTCCTCCCCAGAACACTGGATTTTTCTCAAGGTGCCAGACTATTGATAAGTCATCTAGGCTAGAACCCTTGTGTCATCTCAGGGCGCAGGGATTTCAGAGGCCTTCGAGAGTGGGCCCTGGGTAGTGGACTCATTCCTCAGAGAGCCTAGACCTCCAGGCAGCCAAGATCGCTGCTGATCATTTAGATTGCGTGAAGGGTCCACACAGAGGGGGACGGGCCCAGAGGCTGGGCCAAGGATAATGCCGTGAAGCTGAGGGAGAAATGGGAAATCCCACACATCACATGGTGAAGGTGACTTGGCTAGATTGCAGTTCCAGTGAGAAAGATCTGGGGGCTTTAGTGGACCCCAGTAAGCTCACCATGCCTGCCAGAAAAGACCACTAATAAGAGGAACTTGGGCTGCAGAAGAGAGGATTTGTGTCTACACTCCTACTGCTGTGGCAGCCCCTCCACTAACTTTGCCAAGAAAACCCGAAACGGGGTCACAGAGAGTTGGACGAGACTGAAAAACACCTGAATGACAGCATGAAGGTGTGGGGGCCTCCCAGGTCTTCCTTACTTGGAGGCCAGCTATCCACCCATCCCAGCACACCAGCTCTCACCTGGATCCTATCTGGGAAGCCTCTGTGCGTTTGAAATTCATTTTTCAGCACAGTGAGAACTAGCTCGATCGCATTACTACTTTGTATGAGGACTTAACTTTAGCACCTTTTAATAAGCCCCTGAGGTGATGAGGGCCTGTACCAGGGTGGGGGTGGTGGCAGAGGAGAGGAGGGGGTGTATTCAGAGGTGATGTGAAGGATTGATGGGTCTTGACACCATATTGGATATGGGGGTGGGGGGCAGTGAGAGAAAATGAGGAATCCAGGAGGACTCCTAGGTATGAGGCTAGTTTTCAAGATTTGATGGGCGTCACATGAAGGAGGCATGAGAATGTTCTTGTTGACCCTTGAGGGCAGAACCAGGAGCCAAGGGTGAGGGCCCTGGAGAGGAAGATTGAGGTTAGAAGGGCCTGATGAGAGATGGCGTGGAGGGAGTTGTGGCAGGATTTCTCAGCTGCCCGGGCATGGGATGGGGCACAGGAGGGTTGGGAGCCTGGGTGACTGAGGTCAGCAGTGATGGGGAGGGTTTGGGAGGAAAGATAATGAGCTGGATGTCACTCTGACTGTCCAAAAGGCATCACCAGGCAAAAGGTGGTGAGCTGCGTGGGGACAGGAGTGGAATACGTGGGAGGTCACCAAGCAAGAGACTGGAGAAAGAGAAGAGAAGAGGGCCAAAGGCAGGCATGCCCTTGGGTACAGGCAATGCTGTGGTAGAGGCAACTGAGAAAGAGAGGTCAGACAGGGAGGAGGGCCAAGAGAAGCCTCCAGGGAGGCTGGGGACAGGCCGGCGGATGGGGCCATGAGGAGATTGCTGGTGGCTCACACAGGGAATATTATTCTGTTCCCATTCTTCGATTAATTTTGTATCGGTGACTGAGAGTTCCTTGGAGATTGAAGTCTCTGCTTCTTTCTCCAGTCCCGTCCGTCCATGGAATATCCTCTCTCCCTCATGCGTTTTGACCTTGTTTGTCAGCCTTCTGTGTATTTCTCTTTTCTCTTTGACTCTGGTGTATGGGGCTTATTAAAAGATGCTAAAGTTACGTCCTCATACAACGTAGTAATGTGATCGAGCTAGTTCTCACTTCGCTGAAAAATGAATTTCAAACACACAGAGGCTTCCCAGATAGGATCCAGGTGAGAGCTGGTGTGCTGGGACGGGCAGATAGCTGGCCTCCAAGTAAGGAAGACCTGGGTGTAAGACGCCCCACTCTGGTCGTCCTGGCCTAGAGCGCCCCAGGCAGCTTTCTAAGACAAGAAATACAGACCCCATTTGGGGTTTTCTTGGCAAAGTCAGTGGAGTGGCTGCCACTCCCGTTAGGAGTATAGACGTAACTCCTCTCTTCTGCAGCCCAAGTTCCTCTTATCAGCGGTCTTTTCTGGCAGGCATGATGAACTTGCGGGGGCCCACTAAAGACCCCAGAAGTTTCTCACTGGAACTGCAGTCTAGCCTTTGGTAAGGGAGGTTTCCCCACCCTGATGAAATCTCAGGGGCAGACCTCTGCTCACCTCCTCCCCATCTCAAAATGATCGAGGGATCAGGGGTTTCTAACAGCCAGAGTCACCGGGTCCAGCCTACCAAGGTGCTCTGTAGCCTATGCTGACCAATCCAGAGAGCCCTGGAGACTTTTGGAACGCGTATGACATCAAGCCTGCGGTTTGTGTTTGTTTTCCTGCATTCAGGCCGTCTTTTGGCAGGATTTCACCCAGCTTCAGTGGGTAAAGCACGAATTATGTCTTTGAACGTGCAAGCAGGGAATGAACAATCGATGTTAGATTTAGGGAGGCTGAGCTGTAATCTTGAGATGGAGAGGCAAGCAAGCCAGAGCTGGGTAGCTTTGGTTTTTAACAGACTAATCCCCTAAATATTTTTTCCATTATTTGCCTTGATTTTTTTTTTCACCTTTTGTTCCTTCAGATGAATTTTGTTAATATTTTGTCTAGTTCGAGCAAGTAACTCCTTAGTGATTTGATAGTAAATGATAGTAAATCTGTAATTTAATTGATAGTTTCATCATTTTAATTATGTTGGTATCCAGCCAGAAAGAATTAATTTTTTTCTCCAATTATTTGTCTTCCTTTTTTTCTGTTAAGAGTATCTTGTAGTTGTATTCATATAACTTCTGTCTGTGTCTTGGTAGATGGGATCCCAGATACTTGATATACTTTGTAGCTATTTTAAGTGGGTTTATTTATTTATTTATTTATTTGCTAACTTACTTATTTATTTTGGTGAGACAATTGGGGTTAAGTGACTTGTCCAGGATCACACAGCTAGTAAGTGTTATATGTCTAGAGGCAGGATTCAGGATTTAAACTCAGGTCCTCCTGACTCCAGGGCTGGTGCTCTATCCACTGCGCCACCTCGCTGCCCCCTGGATTTTCTTTTTCTATCTCTTCCTGCTAGGTTTTGTTAATAGTATACAGAAATGCTGATGATTTTTGTGGGTTTATTTTTTTAACCTGCTACTTGGCTGAAGTTATTAATCATTTTAATTAATTTTTAGTTGAACCTCTGCGGTTCTCTAAGTTGTTTCCTAGCTTTCTTTCCATCCCCGATTGGCCTTTGTGATTTGCTTCTGCATTTTGGTGATTGGTCATTTGTTAGGATGTATGACTCCTGGACACAATGAATGCCTTCCCCAGCCTCTAAGGCCAGCATCATAGTGATTCCTCAGAGAATGGAGGATGTCTTTCATGACTGCTGCCATGCCTCACAGCTGAATGCAGGAGGAGGCATCAGCAAAATTCCTCCACTGATCCTGACCCCAAAAGAGAGAGCCTTTAGTTATCCAGTCCCGTTCCCTTCAAGCCCCAGACAACTTGGGCAGGACCCTCGGCCACCTTCCAGAAATCAGCGGAGATGAAGCTCTTACTGGCCCCATCCCTCACGGCTCTCTAACGTGCCAGTCACTGAGTTGGCAGCTCAGCCCACCGGGGGGACTTGCCCGGACCTGAGCCTCCTGATTTGTGAACTTTGTATCCCCCCCATCACTTACCTCTGTGCCGGGTACGTTGAAGGGCTTACTCCATGCACCCCTCCCCAGTTCCTCACCAGATTGTGAGCTCTGTGAGGCTCTGTAGGTCCCCCGGCACCCAGCGCTGCTCGTCTGCGCACAGGTAAGTGTGACAGTAACTGGGGGTGATAACCGAGTCTCCACTGTCTGAAATGAGCTGTGGTTTGGGAGAAACAGCTGAGGGGCCTGAGTGCTTGGAGATGGGGAGAACATGTTGTACTTCATTACGTTACTCTTGGGATCTGGCCTCTCTCAGATCATCTCCCCCAAAGCAGCGGGGTCAGTAATGGAGAACGCGATTGCTAACAAGGGATAAGTAGTTCGGGTGTGCATGCTTGGGTCACATCAATCGATGTATGTGGATTCTCTTTGTGTGCTGTGATACTTTGTAGTGTATACCTTCCTTGGGACTCGGGTTAGAGGGGATTTGTCGGGTGAATGCAAGTGACAAAAAGGCTATCAGTGTGAGGCTAGGTGTGGCATGAACTGAGGAGGTGGCGGTCAGTACTGGATGTGAAATAGCCCAGACTCTCCATGCAGTGAGAACTCCTTATGTACGTTGTTGGTTAGCCATTTTTCAGTCACGTCTGACTCTTCGTGACCTCATTGGGGGTTTTCTTGGCAAAGATACTGGAGTGGTTTGCCGTTTCCTTCTCCAGCTCATTTCACAGATGAGGAGACTGAGGCAAACAGGGTGAAGTGACTTGCTCAGGGTCACACAGCTAATAAGGGAGGGAGGCCAGATTTGAACTCAGGAAGATGGATCTTCCTGACTCCAGGCCAGGTACTCTATCCACTATACCATCTAGCTGCCTCTTCTAAAGAATGCCTTATAAATTCTGCTAACTCCATGTTTCCTCCGCGGTCTGCGTACAGTGTGACCGCAGGCTGAGCAGGTTTGCTGTTTGCTGTTGCAGGCAGCACTGACGTTCAGGGACGTGGCCGTGGACTTCACCCGGGAGGAGTGGAAACGCCTGAGCTCAGCCCAGAGGGACCTGTACAGGGACGTGATGCTGGAGAACTATGAGAACCTGGTCTCTGTGGGTAAGCAGGGCCGCCCCATGGAATGGCCTCTCCATTGGGATGGCTTTGAATTCCCTCTTGGTAAAGCCTGCGGGGAAGGGAGAGGAAGGCACCTAAAGTGCTTCTCTGAACTTTTGGCTTTTGTGGATGTGGGGAGGCTCCAGAGTCCTTTATAGTTCTGTTCCCTGCTTCTGGGCGAAAGGCTCTTGTTTGTGCAAAGGGCCAGGTTCAGCGTGCTGAGCAGGGCGACAGCTTCCCAGCTCTCAGCAGCCCCAGGCCAAAGATCCTTCAGTAAAGTCCCAGAGCAGAAGTGGGAAGACGTGAAAAGTCCTCGTTCTCCAGTGGGGAGTGGGTCAGATGCACCCATTGTCTTTCTGAACCCAGACCATGTTTGGGATACATTCCCTCAGAGAACCTTTCTACCACCTTCTGGGCCTGCTTCATATGCTCTCCTGTCTCTCTGCCTGAGCAGGACTTCCCGTTTCTAAACCCGAGGTGATCTGCCGCCTCGAGAGGGGAGAAACCCCCTGGCTGCCCCGGCGAGGAGCCTCCAGGGCCACTTGTCCAGGTGAGTGAGGAGGAGGGAGGCCCGGGGAGTGACCTTCTGGTGCCAGCAGCAGCAGAGTTAGGGGGCGTGATGCTTGCCATTTGTACCTTTAGGACAGCAGATTTTCGTCAGAAACCGTTTTTGTTTACAAGCTGCACTGTCCTAAGTCTTGCCTTTGGTGGTGGGAAGCTTTCCTCTTTGTCGGTTCAGGGCCGGCTATCTTTGTTGCCCATCGATTCCTACTTGTGTGATAGGTGAGGATTTTTGCCTCTACAGTTACCGTAAGTATATCCTACAGGTGTCTTTAAAATGAAAACTGTTTCAGATCGTTGATTTGGAATGTGAGATGGATCTGATTGCATTCTTTTGGCCACACTGCAATCTGTGTTTCCCTACCAAGGTCTCACGGTTGGTATAGACTTCAGAAACCATCCTGTCCAAGCCCTCCTGGGCCATACTCCCTTGGACAGTGTCCCCAGCAAGTGAAAGGGAAACCACCCTTCTGAAGGCTCCACGTTCTGCTTCCTTCTGTGATTCAAATCTGCCTCTGGGACTTCATCCGTCTTCACTGCTTCTGCCATCTGAATTCTGATAGAATAGCTATCCCTAAATTTGTCCTTTTTAGAACAAAAGACTTTTGACATCCCTATTTCCTTCGCCTGATCTTTGTACGGTGAAATCTTGGAGTCCTTTGCTTTCCTGGTCACCTTCCCCTGGCTGCTTTCCAGTCCATCAGTGTCCCTTCTACAACGTAGCATCCCAGTGTGGTCAGCTAGGCCAGCCTACAGTGGGACCTGCCCCTTGCCGGCGGAGTCACACTGGGCATGTTGTGGACTTACCAAGCAGGAAGTCCACTAAGGTCCTCAGGCCTTTTTCAGCTGAACTGCTCAAGGAGAGGGTTTTTCGTTTTCTTTATCAAGTTGGCCCGTTTGAACATTTCAGGATTTCTACGGTTCTTGCCAATTCAAGGATCTCCCAGCTTTTTATCACTTGCAAAACACTGATAAAAAGGTTTTATTGAAGAGTCATTCTCATCCCCATTGTTTGATCAGCTTAGATTTAGCCAAATCTCATCATATTTTGTGACCTCGGTTGTAGTTCTGGAATCATCCTATTCTGTTTTTCTCTTTTTTTACCCAGGACCAGGTTTTGGTTATTGCTGCTTTAGCCACCAATTTGAGAATTAGCAATGCAAGTGTCACTTAATCCTTTTTGTTTCTTTATACTTCTTGGGTATTGATGTCTGTCTGGTCTTCACATAAGTTTATGTCCTCCTTTTGTGTAATTCTGTGAAGTGGCATATGTACACACAGCAGGAAGGAGGGAGAGGGACTTAGAGAAGGGGAGAGGGGAGGGGCAGAGAGAAATACTGACTGTGTCTTCTGCCATGTAATTACATACTAGGTTTATATAATTGTATACTACATATTATATATATATAATATATAATATAATGTATATATAATATATATGCTAGGTGTATATATTGTATACTCGGTGTATATAATGTAATATGCTAGATCAGATTTATCTTGCTGGTGCTAGTCATCTTAATTTTTTGTTTTTGAATTCTTGGACATTCTTACATTTTTCTCATTGTTGCCACCTTCTGAACCATCGTTTTGTCTTAGATTTCCAGTAGTTTTCCAAGTGAATCATTTTTGAGCTCATTTTTCCATTTCTTGTGGGGTTTTTCTTTCCTCTCTCGTTTTTGCCGTTTTTATGTCTGATATGATGGAAAATGCTATCCACATCCAGAGAAAGAATTGATGGAGTCTGAATGCTGATTGAAGCATACTATTTTCACTTTATTTTTTTCGTGGTTTTTTTCCTTTTATAAATTCTGGTTTTTTTTTTTGCAAACTTTCTTCATTGTCTGATATTTTGTTTGTTTTCCATGTCTATTTTTAACTATTACTTCCATCTTCATCTTGCCCTAAGATTTTGTAGTCACACAGTTCCTTCTGTAAGAGGTATGATATAATGAATAGAGATTTGGCCTTGGACTCAGGAAGACCTGGGTTCAGATTCTGCCTCTACTGCATTCTAGCTGTTGGGTCCTGGGCGAATCATTGAATTTCTCAGAGCATGCCCCAGGTAGCCATTTCCTAAGACTTGACAACGAAGAGAATGTTTTATCTGTGTCAATAAAAGAGTTCTTCATCAGGAGTTCCCTACTCTAATGAAATCACAGATCTGGTATAGAAAGAATACTTTTTCACTGGGTTTATTTATCATTTTATTGTGGGTTTTTTTTTTAAGGTTTAACTGTTTTCTGTTAAAAATCATATCTTTTCTCTCCCCATTTTTCATAAGCTATAAATGAAAAAAAAATTAGGAAAAATTAAACCCTTGTAACAATCACACACAATTAAGCAGAACACATTTTCATCTTGTCCGTCTCTCCTTCTGCTCTTTGAGCCTGTTCTCTTGGCCTGCAGGTGGCAGCAGCCTGGCTTCTTCTGGCCTTTCTGATCGCAGCTGGCCATTGCCTTGATCAGATTTCTTAAACCTTTCACAGTGTTGTTGTTATTGGATAACTCTTATCTTCTTTTGGCTCACTTCTTTGGATTCATTTTGTACTAGTCTTCCTAGATTTCTCTGAAACAATCTCTTTCTTCCACCATTTCTTATAGAATTACAACAATATTTCATTCATTTACATCAGATGATCTTTTTCAGCCCCTATTGCTAGGTATCACCTTAGATTCCAGTTCTTTGCCAGTGTAAAAAGAGCTGCTATAAATTTTGTATATATATGTGTCCTTTTCCTCTTTCTCTGATCTCTTTGGGGCACAGTAATGGTATCAGTGGATCCAAGAGTTTTCCCAGTTTAATGACTTTTGGGATATAATTCCAAATTGGTTTTCCTAATGGCTGAACCAATTCTTGCAACTTCACCAGAAGTGCATTCTTGTTGTGTTTTGAGAAAATTATAACTTTGTTTCTGGTGTTACTGTTGATGTACCAGTATGTTTCCCTTTTGGCATTTTTTTCCTCAGCTTCATTGATCCTTACCTTTTAAAAATTGAGTCAGACTTTGTTTCCTCATTTTAAAAAATAAACCAAATGTTTGAAGGTAATATTGCTCTTTTTTTAACATTCATTTTTTATAAAATTTTGAGTTCCAAATTTTCTCCCTTCTTCCTTACCTCTCCCCTCCTCAAGATGGTAAGTGATTTAGGTTATATATGTGCAGTCATGAAAAGCTTTTTTCCATATTAGTCATGTTGTGAAAGAAGAAAGAGTTTGCAAAAAAAAAAATTTACAAAAGGAAAAAAACACAAAAAAAATAAAGTGAAAATAGTATGCTTCGATCAGTATTTAGACTCCATCAGTTCTTTCTCTGGATGTGGATAGCATTTTCCATCATGAGTTTTTTGGAGTTGTTTTAGATCCTTGCATTGCTAAGAAGAGCTTAGTCAATCATAGTTGACCATTGCACATTGTTACTACGTACAGTGTTCTCCTGGTTCTGCTCATTTCACTCAGCATCAGTTCATGTGAGTCTTTCCAGGTTTGTTTGAAATCATCCTGCTTGTCATTTCTTAGAGCATAATAGTATTCCATTACAATCATATACCACAGCTTGTTCAGCTATTCCCCCATGGATGGGCATCCCTTTGATTTCCATTTCTTGGCCATCACAGAAAGAGCTGCTGTAAATGCTTTTGTCCATGTACGTCCTTTTCCCTTTTTTATGACCTGCTTGGGAGACAGACGTAGAGGCGGTATTGCTGGCTGATTGCCTCTGGGCGTAGTTCCAGATTGCTCTCCACAATGGTTGGATCAGTTCACAACTCCAACAAAGTTCATTAGTGTCCCACTTTTCTCACATCTTTTCCAACATTTACAGTTATCCCTTCCATATTGTGGGAATTAGGGGCTTGGAGCCCCTGGGATCTGGAAAATCCACGTAAAATTTTTTTGACTCTCCCTTCGTACCAAAGAAAAAGTCTGAATTATTATGAGATTAAAAGATAAAATGTGTTGATCTTACACAGTACTGTACATATGTTTTGTGCATTTCTGAGTTCCTAAACTTTTTCTCTGTGTCATCTCCTGGCATTTGTGTGTCATCTGCAGGTTCCATGAACTCCCCCAAAATTCCCATTTGATTCCTTATGCCAGCCTGCAATGTATTAAAACCTTGATGGGGAAAATTGTGATGTGGAAGGGATAACTGTTTTATTTTCCTTTTCTGTCACATTAACCAATCTGATAGATGTGAGGTGGTACTTCAAAGATGTTTTAATTTGCGTTTATATAATTAATAGGGATTTAGATCATTTTTTATGTGACTGTAGATTCATCTAAAAACTACCTCTTGCTATCCTTTGACCATTTTATCAATTGAGAAATGACTTGTATTCTTATAAATTTGACTGAGTTCTCTATATATTTGAGAAATGAGGCCTTTATGAAAGATACTTGTAAAAATTGTTTCCCAGCTTTCTGCCTTCCTTCTAATCTTGCTTGCATTGGTTTTGTTTGTACAAAATTAGTTTAATGTCAATAAGGTAATTTTGCTCTTTTGAGGTGGTTATTAAGGAAGTAGGTTACCTAGTAACTTCAGATTTCTCCTATCTTTTCAAAAGTATCTGATTTTAGAGCCAAGAAAAACTCCTGAGTCCAAGGCCAGCATTATTTCTACTCTCCCTTGCTGCCTTTTCTGTCTGCAGTGTGAGGCTTAAGACTGCTTGCCATGTTGTCATTTATCCCTTCATTGTGGCTCTGTAAATTATCCAGCCTGGTAAAATTCACCTATCATCCAGGCCCTGCTTCACCATTTGGTTTGGAAATAATGTGGTAGCCTTTGTGAAATGCTTTGCTTAACTCTAAAATACCCAATATCTATAGCATTCCTTCCCCAGCCATTTGATCCATCTTTATCAGGAAAGAAAACGAGGTGAGTTGTACGTGATTTGTCCTTTCTGAACTGATAGTGGGTCTTAGGGATCACCTCTTTTTCAGTGGGCCCACAGTCTCTCTGATGTTGGTTCTGAATTTTGCCATGCAAGAGTCTTTGCCGTTCTGTCCCTTTCCTGAACATTAGGCATTTTCCCAAAGATTATCAACAGTGGTTCTCAGAGGATGTCTCAAAAGTGCTTTCAGTACCCTGGAATAGAATTGGCTTAGCCTTAGCCTCTTCATTCAGAACTCTTTTGTGTTTGAAACTGAGTCCCACTCGATGATTTTGGATTAGGAAATGTTGCAGTTAATCTCTATTGGCTAAGTACAAGCAGGTGCTTGGGGAGCTTCTTGGACAGAGCGTCTCTTTCTTCATCAAGAGCTCTGGCTTGGAGCTCTTCGCATCAAGCTTTCAAAGCGTAAAAAGAAGTGACTCACAGCTAATTCAGTAATAAATGATGGAGCTAATTAACAATTTATAAGAGGCAAAATCTTAACAAGATTCAGCAGTTATTCAGATACAGGTTTGTAATGCACAGTTTTGTGACATTTTGACATTAATTATCAATTTCTAAAATAAGGAAAACATATTGGGTTGAAGTATACTATGTATAGTTAGTACATACTTGGTTGGCTCTTGGGCCCTCAGCAAGTCTGCCTAGGTCTCGATTTCTAAAAGCCTTGGTGTCTGTAAGTCCAGCAAGATCCCAGAGTCCTCGGCCGCCCCATTTTGCATATGCATCCTCCTGCTCAGTTTCTCCCCTTAGCAATTGTTTACAGATCACTTTGTTTTTTTCCTTCATCTTGTGAAAACAGAATCTAGGCCTTATTTTTGTTTTGCACAGCCCAAAAAACAGGGATGATTGATAATGTCTGTTTTTTTTCCAGGTTCCCATAGTCAGGAGACTAACTGTGACAGCAACAACTTGCCTTCCAAGCAGGACGTTGTTATAGGAGCACCTTCTAAGGAAAGACTGGCAAAGAATTGGTATTCCAAGGTGGGAGAAACTTGGGAGGGTGCTGTCAGGTTAGGGAGACAGCAGTGCAGCCCGGAGGGACGCTCCAAACAAGTAACGGGCACAAATGGAAAGCCATTTAACAAGGCAAGCGTTCCTGAAGGTGATACGTTTGGAAGAAGTTTGAATCTGGAGTCCGTCTTTGTTACTCTGCAGAGAACTCCTACAGAAAAAAGTGTCCAAAATCATACAGTTGCAAAGAGCATGAAACAGTTTTCAGAACTATTTAAATGTAGTAGAATCCCCCTTGGGAAGATGCTTTGTAAGTATAATAAATGTGTAAAGTCCTTCAGTTATCACTCTGATCTCATTCAGTTTCGTAGACAGCATACTGGAGAAAAGCTGTATGAACGTAATGAACATGGGAAAGCCTTCAGCAAAAGACCATACCGTACTCAACGTAAGAAAATTCGTAATCGAGAGAAACGTTATATATGTAACGAATGTGGAAAAGCCTTTAGTCAGTGGGGAAGCCTTATTGATCATCTGAGAATCCATACCGGAGAGAAACCTTTTCAGTGTAATGAATGTAAGAAAACCTTCAGCCAGAGGGGAACCCTTATCAGGCATCATAGAATTCACACTGGAGAAAAGCCCTTTGAATGTAATGAATGTGGGAAAGCCTTTGGCAACAATTCCTGTCTTACGCTGCATCAGAGAATTCATACTGGAGAGAAACCTTATATATGCAATGAATGTGGGAAAGCCTTTAGTGGGCGGCAAAACATGATCCATCATCAGAGAATTCATACAGGAAAGAAACCATATCAGTGTAAAGAATGTGGGAAAGCCTTTCGACACAGGGCATCCTTTGTGTGTCATCAGAGAATGCATACCGGGGAAAAACCTTTTCACTGCAATGAATGTGGGAAAGCATTTAGACGGAAGGAAAACCTTACTGCACACAGGAGAATTCATACTGGAGAGAAACCCTTTGAATGTAATGAATGTGGGAAAACTTTCAGCAACAATTCTTGCCTTACTTTACATCAGAGAATTCATACTGGAGAGAAACCCTACAAATGTAATGACTGTGGAAAAGACTTTAGGCATAGAGCATCCTTTACCTATCATCAAAGAGTTCATTCTGGAAATAAACCATATAACTGTAAGGAATGTGGCAAAGCTTTCAGTCAAAGAGCTAATCTTATTGAACATATGAGAATTCATACTGGAGAAAAACCTTTTGAATGTTACCAGTGTGGAAAAGCCTTCATCAATAATGCACGACTTACAGTACATCAGAGATTTCATACTGGAGTGAAACCTCATGAATGTAATGAATGTGGTAAAGCTTTCATGCACAAGGCAAGCCTCACAGCACATCAGAGAATTCATACTGGAGAGAAACCCTATAAATGTAGTGAATGTGGGAGAGCCTTCAACCAGAGTGCACATCTTATGAGGCATCAGAGAATTCATACTGGAGAGAAACCTCGCAAGCCTAATGAAAATAAGAAGACAGCCAACCAGTTGGGAATCCTTAGTGCAAATGAGTCAGCAAATACTAGAGAGAATCTTTATCATTGTGATGAATGTGGGAAAGGTTTTAGGCAGAAATCATACCTTTCTCTCCATCAGAGAATTCACACCGGAGAAAAACCTTATCATTGTAATGAATGTGGAAAAGCCTTCATTGGGAGGGGACAGCTCAATACACATAAAAGAATTCACACTGGAGAGAAACCCTTTGAGTGCAGTGACTGTGGGAAGGCCTTCAGCCGAAAGGAACACCTTACCGCCCATGAGAGAACTCACACCGGAGAGAAACCCTATCAGTGTAAAGAATGTGGAAAGACATTTAGCCAGAACTCACACCTTACAGTACATCAGAAAACTCACACTGGAGAGAAACCATTTTTGTGTAATGATTGTGGAAAAGGATTTAGCTACAGGACCTCCCTTATTTCACATCAGAGAATTCATACTGGAGAGAAGCCCTTTGAGTGTAGTGTATGTGGTAAAAACTTTAGTCATAGACCATCACTTATTAAACATCAAATAATTCATACTGGAGAGAAACCTTTTGAATGTCTTAAATGTGGGAAAAGCTTTACTCACAGGTCATCATTTATTAAACATCAAAGAGTTCATAATGGAGAGAAAGCCTGCTAGTAAAATGAATGAACAAAAGCCTTTAACCAGAGGGGAAAGCTTAGAAGGGATTAATGCTGAAGAATAAGCCTTTGATTATTGAATGTGAAAGCTTTTGTCATGGTTCTTGATTAACTTGTTTTCAGAGACCTGAAAGTTGGAGGCGGCCTGATGTGAGTACTGGACTTGGAGTCAGGAAGACTTCAATTCAGATCTTCTCTCTTGACACTTTCTAGCCATGTGACCCTGAGCAAATCAAAATCTCTTTGGGCCCAGTTTCCAAATCTGTCAAATGGAGATGATCGCACCTACCTCACTAGATTGTTGTGAGGATAAAATGAGATAACGTACTTAAAGCACTTTGCAATCTTTAGAGCGCTATATAACCGAGCTGTTATTTTTTATCCCTGGTGATAAACTGCAGAAAAGCCTAGACTGTGGGAGAGCCTTTTTCCCAAGGTGATATCCTACTGTACGTCAGAGAATTTATACTGGTGAAAAAAAATTCCCTAAGTTTACCAAATGAGGTAAAGTCTTTTTTTTTTAATTAAAGTTTTATTTTTTTAATTAACAGAAATCTGTTTTCTTTCCCTCTCATACCCCTCGCTTCATCAGGGGGAAAAAAAAGTTCCTTGAAACAGATATGCAAAATCAAACCAAACAGATTCCCTCATCGATTGTGTTAAAAAATAAATGTCTCCTTCTGCACCCTGAATCCATTCCCTCTCTGATACAACGTGGATAGCATGCTTCATCATTAGTCTACTGCAATCATGGGTAGTCCTTGGATTGATCATAGTTCTTACTGCTTTCAAAATTGTCTCTGCAGTATTGTTATATAAATTTGTCCTAGTTTTCCTTGTTTCATTCTTCATCACTTTATAGAAGTCTTCAAAATTATCCTTTTATGGCATTGATATTACAGTATAAATTATTATGACTGCTCACTCTGCTCTGCGTCAGTTCATATAAGGCTTTCTTTGTCTGTGAAATCATTTTTTTCCGCATTTCTTAACGGCATAATAGAATTCCATCACATTCATATGCCACAATTTGTTCAGCTGTTCTCCAGTTGATGGGCATCCCTTTAGTTTCCAGATTTTTTTTGTCACCACAAAAAGCTGCTACAAGTATTCTTCTACACAAAACACCCTTTTCCTCTTTCTTTGGTCTCATGGGCATAGGCCAGTGGTATAGCTGAGTCAAAAGATGTCATGAATGTTTTGAGGTGTAATTCTGAATTGCTTTCTAGAAATATCGGACCTGTTCACTGATCTACCAAGAGAGAATCAGTATACCTGTTTGCCCACAGCACCTCCAACATTTGTCGTTTTCCTTTTTTGTCATCTTTGTCAATCTGAGAGGTGTCAGGTAAAACCTCAGAATTGCTTTAGTTTGCATTTCTTCAGTTATTGGTGATTTGCATTATTTTTTTATATGGCTCTAGTTCTCCTGAGAACTGCCTATTCCTATCTTTAGGTCATTTATCATTTGAGGAATGTTCTTACTCTTATGATTTTGAATCAGCTCATCATCAACTTGGAAATGAGACCTTTATGTAACAGTCACTTGCTACGAAGTTTTTTTTCTCTTGGTTGTTTTCCTGTTCATTTTAGCTTTGTTGGATTTGTGCAAAAAAAATTTTGTTATCCAAATCATCCATTTTATCTTCTATGATCCTCTGTATCCCATGCTTGGCCATGAACTTTTCTTCTGTCCATTGATCTGATTGATTAATTTTTTCTAAATTTATCTGTTTAGGGTGTGACCTTTTATAGCTAAGTCATGTATCTGTTTGGAGCTTATCTTGGTATAAAATATGACCAGTTGGTCCAAATCCTGATGTCTTCCATACTGCTGTCCAATTTTCCCAGCGGTTTTATCAAATAATTCTTATCTCATTAGGTTTTTGTTTTTATCAAACACTAGGCTACCAAAAAATTAAACTCCCAATTTTTTTATAAGCATTTCTTAAGCACGGTGGATAGAGTGCTGGGCCTAAAGTCAAGAAGGCTTGACTTCATATCTGACCTCAGACACTTACTCGCTGTGTGACCCCTGGGCAAGTCACTTAACCTCTGTTTGCCTCAGTTTCCTCAACTGTAAAATGGGGATAATAGTATCCATCTTGTACTGTTGGGAAGAACAAATAAAATAATATTTGTAAAAAGTACTTTAGCACAGTGCCTGGCACATAGGTGATATATACATGCTGTTTCCTTTCTTGAATTCTATTAAACATTCAAAGAACAATTAATTCCAGCATTTTGCAAGCCTAGGAAGAAAATGGATCCTAGCAAATATCTTCTGTGACACAGAGATTGTCTTGATGCACAAACTAGGGAAAGTTTAAAAAAAGGCCAGACTAAAGGCCAATATCCGTAATGAAAATTGATGCAGAAACATTAGCAAAGAGGGTAAGAGGGCATCACAAGGATTATACAGTACTTGACCAAGTTGGACTTAACCATATTAATAACGAAAGCACCAAAGGTCATAAGATTATATCAATAGAAGCAGAAAAGGTTTTGACAAGATACAGCACTCATGTCGGTTTGGGAAAAAAAACCCCAATGACACTGGAAAACAGGAGTAAAAATGGATTTTATGTTAAAGTGATAAATAACATACATCCAAAATCAAGAGTTACTGTTACGTGTAACTAGAATCCTTTCCAATTAAATTGGGTGAAACCCGGATATCCACTGTCAGCACTTCTGTTTGACGTCACCATAGAGGTGGTGGCTGTGTGTCCACAAGAAAAAGCAACGGAGGGAACGTGATCACGTGGTAGCTTAGCCGCTGGCCTTCTCTGAGTTCGTGTCATGACTAGCATTCGTCTATAATCGGGTCATTTACAGTTTCTCTACCCCCAGGTAGCCGCACTTCTGTGAGTTACAGATGAGTTGTCCATCTGCATTGATGGCGCAGTTTCTACACAGGGAGGTTTCCCAACAGTACTGAAATGACTATGCTAGCGCTAATGAAATAGATCTGCGCCAATAGAAAAACGTGCGTTTTCTTTTTTTTTTGTTTTATTGATTCCTTTTTTTATACCACATTTTCTCTTATTCCTCTTATATCTCCAGGCATCTGGATATTTGGTTTTCAACCTCTCTAGCCGGCCCATGGGCCTGGCATCGTGTCGATTATCGTGTGCGCGTGTGTCCGTATCCCTTTTGTGGGAAGGGTAGGAAGATCAGTGTGAGTCCCAGGCCTCCGTGTTTATTCTAGGTTATTTCCTAAGGTTAATAGAAAAGACAGTCACATTCTGCTACTTAGGTCACAGCTTGAACTGGGAGGGCTCTTCAAGGTTGGGGTTAGTTCAACCCCCATCCCTCATTTCACATGTAGCAGCAGTTACTATCTGAATTAGGGCGGATTTTATGGTCAGCTTGCCACCACACCAATGGAGAAAGAAAACTGTGCATAGACCAGCACTTCTTCAACTGTGAGTCTCGACCACAAAGGGAGTCATGACCCACGTCTAAGAAGCGCTGAAGGGATCTGAGTGGAAAAAGTTTAAGAAGCCCTGGCATAGAGCATATGTATCCTGACGAGGTTTATTAAAGGATACTCTTTTCAGCCATCAGAGGCCTGGAGAATTCTGGAGGCTGAGGAGGGGTAGGGTCATGGCTTCTCTGGTCTGTGTCTGAAGTTGGGTGTCCCCCAGTTATAGGGACCTCGGGTCTCCATTCTTCACATGGGTGGTGGCAGCTCGGTTGTGGAGATTACAGCACCAATGGACTCAGCAGCTTTCACTTTTCATGCAGAAAATGGGCTGTCTTGGATGTGTATCAGTGATGTTTCTGGGTTCTAGGGCAGTGATTGTGTAGACAGGATCAGCTATGAAATCAGGTTTTGGAAATGGCAATCTCATCACTCTAGAGATATAAAGCAAAGTAGTGATAAGTAACAAAGAGGCAAGCAGGAAAATGATCCCCATAGGAATCCCAGTGCCCTAGTGGAGTTTTCTTTACGTCTAAGTAACTTGACCACTGGTGAGGGAAATAGCCCTGAGGCATATACTTTTCAGTGAAAAGCTAATACCTGAAGTTATAGCTTATACTTAATATGTTTCCTAGTTAGCAACATCAATTAATAAAAATGCTAAATATACCCTGGTATACATTATGAAAGTGAGTGTTACATAAGCAGACTACAAACCAGATTTGGAAGGCTTTGAGGCATCACAGTTTAGCTGGTCCTGACAACTGGATGCTCTCAGGCCCAATTTTTTTCTTTTCCCTCAAGGCTGATGGTGAGTTCCTTCTAGGCAACTAGGTGGTACAGTGGATAGAAGCACATATGTCTCCCCCTCCCCCCTCCCAATACACACACGCACACACATACATCCAAGGATACAGAGTCTAATGAGCTGAACCCAAATGTGGGCCTGTTGCGTAGTCTGAAATGTTTTGACGGAGGTGCTGCGTTTTCCATCCGTAAAAGTCCACCTTCCAGTTGGAAGTGACCTCAGAGGTCTTGTGGTCTGATATACATCCTCCACTGCATGCTCAATCAACCTTGGCCCGAATACTTTCAGTGAGAGAGAACCCACCATTTCTTAAGGCACTTCCTTCCAATAGGAAGGCTTTTCCTTCCAGTGATCCTGAATCTACCTTTTCAACACCCTTTCCCTAGTGGGACCTGATTCTCCCATCTGAGGCTAAGCAAGCCAATGCCTCTTCCACGCTGACAGCCCTTCAAGTAATGCAGCTGGAAGTCACACTGGTGTTTTGGGATGCCAAGTCACCATGTTGATGCATTGAGTTCGCAGCCCATGGAAACCTCCAGATGGTCTCTACCATGCTTCTGTCATTTTGATGATTTTGAATATACGTATAAAAACTTTACATATTATGTTTCATATTATAACCTATCAAAATCTTAGATCCTGACTGTCACCCAACACTAAGCAGTTTTCGATCATCTGCACATGTGAAAAGTGTAGCGTTGATGTTTGTATCCAAGGTTGGGGGTTGTGGTTCTGGTGCAGATGTCTCCATACTTTCCACAAGAGTAGTAGAAGAGACTTTTATCAGATGCTAGACTTTCCCCCACAAAAGTAGTGTGATCTTTGTCAAATACTTTGCCGAAATCTAATTAACTGATGCCTCCTATCCAATAACTGCCAAAGAAGGAAAGGAAGAGGATCTGGTATGACTTGTTCTCGATAGACTTATACAGGTTCTTGGTGATCCCAGTTCCAGAGAACGGAGGCTATTTAGTTCATCTGAAACCTGAACAAGAACCCTCACTCCCAACACAGGACGAGTCGTCATCCGGCCTTTGCCTGAGATCTCCTTTGAAGGAAGGGCTCCCAGTTATTTGGTTATTGCCCTTTACACATAGCCGTGTTTGCCTTTTTTCAGCTTTCCCTTGTTGCTCCTAATTCTCTCATCTGAGGCCAAACAACTGTAATCTCCCTTAATTTTCTAAGCAAGTGAGTCATCCTGTTAATTCATTTAAAATTTTGCCAAGAATTAAAATCGCACCCAAGGCCCTGCAGTTTGAGGTTTCTATCATCAATACAGCATTTCTCAAGGTTCCGTGCACTACCATGTGGGAGACCGGTAGGGAGAAAGAAGTGATTTCTCCCTCTGGTCCTCCGTCTATGGGGATTGGCGGTTTCTAGGTTGCAGTAAATGCTTCTGGCGTTGCTGTGGAGTTACGTTCCTACAGTCCCACACGAACCACTGCTTCCTCTTCTGCTGTTTGTCACAGCTGTCTAGACACCCCAAGCGCTCTGCACCGCCACCTGCCTAGCAAAGATCTCTCCTCAGGTAGCTCCCCCCCAACCCTTCTCCAAGCAGATGAGTTATTCTCACCCCTCACTCATGCTTGTCTCCTGCTGTCTCTGTGCCCTTGCTCTGTTCAC